CATCATAGGCCAGGTATCTAAGGAACGTACCATCCTTGTCTAAAACATGAATTTGACCAACAGCCGCTATGATAATGTTGAAGCATGAATCGCAACATAGATCAATTGGTGGAGAGCCAGAAAGCTCCGGAGAGTAAGAAAAGCGATATTTCCCATTTCTATCAGTTACAGTAACACGTGGTTTAATAGAACCCGAAGGAATCGTACTCAGACGCACAGAATCCCATTTCCATTAATTGCGATATTTTGAGGTGTTTCATACATCGGCTGTCTACGGTCTTTAAATTCTATTCTCAGAAGTCTTCTCCCTTCAGTCGTATACTTTTCAACTTTAGAAAAGATGCAGACAAATATAACATTAGGTTCCACAAATGTAAGTCCCCTCAAATCACCCTCAATGTTTAGAAATAATTGATCAACTTGATCATGACTGTTGATTTTTCTTGCTCCTCCTCGGCCTGTGTACAACATACCATCCTCAAAGGGAGTTAAATACATGACCAGTTGATTCATTGGAATCATATTAACTACTGTGTCATTTGTACGACAAATATTGATATTATACGACTCCTGAGAACTAACAAATGTCTTGCTCTAGCCAGCATATCTAATACAGTACATTGCACGAAATCCACAGCGTATGGTACCTGTTACCTCGTGATCGCGAAGAGATTTCGCTGTACCCTCAGATCTTTTGTGGTAGTATATGATATTGTGGTCAGGTGCATTCGTTTCGAGATGAGGGGACACGCATTTCACACAAAGTCTTTTTTAACAGGATCCACAATAGAAGTGGACGTTTTCTTCCCACAGTTCACATTTAACAAAATGTTGTTCATACGGAGCAGAAACCTTCGCGATTTTAGTTGTTAATCTTGTGTAAATATCAACACAATCGTCCGACACTTAAACATTCAAGTCTCATTCAATCCATCAATATAAACAATGCTGGCACGGATTGTCAAAGATTTTGTAGTTAATTAAAGATAATCAAGTTATTTAAACTCTGAATGTAGACATACTACGGACGTAATCTAAAAGTTTAAGTTTGTTTTGTTTGGAGAAAAGACACTTTTTTTGCGTTTTTGAGTTGAGTAAATGTGGACAAGAATAAAAAAAATAAAATCATAATCATCATCTATTTTCAAAAGAGGTAACTTTCAAAAGGATGTAAGGAAAATATTATTCAAATATTGTATCTATAAATGTACAAATGAAACATTCAAACAATATCCAATGATAAGCTAGGTCGATTCACTCTGCTACTATACGTGATTTGCGCCTCTATATATCTAGTCAGTTACGTTATTGTTCAGTGTAAGCATACATTACAGTTAATGTTGGCAATATAAATATCGGCAATTTTTTTTCCCTAAAATTTATCCCTAAATAAGTATATAATTTTTTCTCTTAATATTTTCTTAATATTGAATACATGTATGTGTAATATAAAATACAAATTCAAGACACATAGAGGACTATTGAAATTTCAAGTAAGTTTGGTCACCTGAGGTGATGATGCTTTATGCTAGCAAATATGCATACAGTAGTGATCATGGCATCTGCTTTGAATGTCAAGGCCAGAACAAAGTTAAAATTTCTAAAAAATTAGGAATTGTGTGGAGATAACAAACATTGTTATACCTTTAGAAAGAGCTAGGTTCCCTTTATGCATAAAATGAACCTATCCTGATATCAATTAGTAAAGTATCACCCTCTTTTCCATTTCATAAATCGACATAAAGTAGAGGCTAAGTGCTTTCATTTCCTATACTAAAATTTCTTTTTGAGAAACTAAGTATTGGAAAACATGGTTTGGGGAAGTGCCTTGTTCTTGAATTTGCAGAAATCACGCGCATTCGAGTGATTACCATCAACAAAGAATTAAAATATGAGCACAGCCCACGATCCATAGTTTAAAATACATGTATATTTGAATCTTCAGAAACAGATCTTTCATTAATGAATTGCATTTTTTGGATCAGAGGATGTATCTAATATGAAATAATGAACAAATGTTCCAACTTTAAACCATTTTCAAAGACATTTACTTGATATGGGGAAAATGACACATTTTATGACGTCATAAAACATTGACTAGAGGGAATGTTACGTCATGTTAAATCTATACATGGTCACCTAGAGTCCAAGTGATAAATACCGCATTTTCAACATAAACTTAGCAATTTTGATTTTGTTTAGAAATTTTCAAGGCTTTAAATGGCTCTACATGTAAGTGGCTTTTGATCTTTGTTCCTTTGCAAATCTATACGAAAATATTTTTAATGTTTTACAGAGCGGGCATAAAAATCGATGAGTGAGATTACTGTTTGGACCACTTACGTCACACAAAGGGCAGAGCTTAATCTCATTTGCATTCTTTGGTGTTCAACAGTGACAGACCTGGGGTTACATCATGGAGAAAAATACAAGGTGCATGTATGTTAAAAAAACAGAATGAAAGGTATAACAAAAGGAATGTTGTCCTCGAACTCAGTCAATTAATGTATAGTATTCAAGCTCGAAGGTCCACATTAAACATTACCAATTACGAGCAGATCAAAAACAGACCTCCTAAACATCAGAGGTTGGACCATGTGCCATGAAGGAGTGAGAATCTCCTGCCGACCGGTCAAACCCGTCGTGTGCTCTTTTTAAACATTATTTGACTCCGTTAAAATTGTAAGTTTTTCTAAAAGTAACTTTCACATGAATCATCCCCATTCGTTACCAAATAACATAATTCACATTGACATGAACTCAATATGCACGTAAAAGTGGTATATTGCTACGTACATGTAAATAAGGGAAGTTAACTATAGATAAAGAAAAGCTGAAGTCAACACTGCAATTATAAATTTTTTCATAATATTTAAATCAAAAAATATGATTTGATTATATAATGCTGCATCTGAAATTTCTGTAACAATGTATACAGATTATATTTTGTGAGACAGAAAGATCACGATTTAAGTAAACAAGTTTTAAGTAAAATATTTATTAATTAAAATACAGTTAAAAGAAAATACAATGAAATTTATGGAGATATCAAACAGCATACAAGTTTAAGGATACACCAAAGGTTTTTTTAAAGATTTTTGTCAATTTTGAGATTTTTGGCTACGAAAACAATGCTAATCACTGCTTTATAATGCATGAAAAATTCTTGCTGCTTATTAAGTGGTTTTCTAATTATTTAACAATAATCAAACATAAACACTAACACATGTGAATGTGCCGTTATTGAAGCTTCTAATTTGGTCTGTAACTGCCTGCGTCTGAAAGGAGCAATAAATCACTGTGACCACTTGGGGAATTCTTCACTAGCCACACAGAGGTTATCAGTAATCTAAGTACTAAGTAAGATCTAACTGGTCACTAATGACCATGGAATAGGAGGTGGAGCTTAGCTCTTGCCATTTTGCCGGGAATTTTTTCTGATTTAGAATTGAACCTATTTTACTTTATTAAAAGCAACTAAATAAAGAATAGAACCTCCCATTCTTGTGAATATGCATAGGAAATATGGATAAGTGACAGGTATCCAAAGCTGAATCTCCAAGGTGTCATATATTTCTAGCTTTGGCAGAATTTGTTGTGTAATGGGTTTTTGCCCTCTACTGTAAAGTAAGATCAGACAGTTGGAGGTATTTCAAAGAATTCAGCTCTCTTATTTATTGACCAATTTCTCTGAAAACTAGCCAGAATGCGTCTCAAATGTGTGTTCACAAAACCGTATCTCAGATTTTTGATATCTTGCTCAGTTCCCGAATTATTGGGGGAAATGTAGAATTAGGCTCATAAATTCGTAACATTGAAAGACAAATGAATGTAACTTTTGAATAAGGAGATTTATCAAAAATCTGAGATATGGTTTTAAAGTTCAATCTTAAATCTATATTGAGGCAAAATTTTGACTTTGAGAGGTGGAATACAAAAAAGTTGATTTATAGAATATAAATGCACCATTATTTACATTAAAATATTAATAATTTTTTAATAAGATAAAAATGAAAATTTAAATTAAGATCATTAAATAGTAAATTTAACAAGCTTTCAAATGATATATACATTTAACATGTTATCTTTGTTAATGAAAGAATTACAAGCAAATTAAATTAAATTTTGCCCTTTGGAGACCTTTGGTGTATCCTTAAAAGTCAATTTATCAATACAAAGTAGGAGCAGAGCAAACACCTACCAAACATCAGAGGTGTGATCAGGTGCCATGAATGAGTAAGCATCGCTGCTGACCGCCATGTGTTCTTTGTCTTAATCGGGAAACAACGGATAAATCCGTCGACAATCAGTGAGTATTAAATAAAAAAAGTGTGGAAAACATCAGTCAGCATTTGATTTAATGATAGATTATATGCTAACAAAGTCATCATTGAAATAAATATTTGTACCTTTGCTAAAAATTCTAAAATGTTCCTCATTATTAAACTCTTTTATATTCATAGGACGACTTAGAAAATTTCTTTTAACCTCTAATCGGAGGAATATACACCTTTACTCTCTATATATCAGGTAAATATTACTTCAAAGGACACATAGATTCAAAGATAAGACTAAGTATTTTATCCCCTCACGACTTATGGAGTTTTTCCGTCTTCCATCATTTTATCAATCACATAATTGTTTTATAGAAATAAAAATCTATCTGGCAAAATTCGATATTATAAATTAGTAATACATTATGTTTCATAAGCGAAAATTACAATTAATGGAGACAATTTGCACGAACGTTTTCTTTCAGTGTTAAAAAACAAAGAGCAAAAGTGAAATAAAATATGAAACTACAACAAAAGTTCAAAAGCACATATAATTAATATTCTGTGTTTTAGGAAAAGATTTAAATTCAAACACGCGTTATAAGAGTCAAAATTGTTATTTTTTTCATCATACTTTAATTAGTAAATGAGGAATAATTTCTAGCAATATTACAGGAACTGTGAACAATAAACAATGATTTTATTAGCATTTCTACATTACATATATCTATAACCATTTTTGAAATTCATATATATGATGATCTTTATAAAAATGATTTTTAAAATGTTAGCGGTACAACAGCTCTTAATTTATATTTCATTTTTTAATAGCTTTCGCAATGTCGTCAAAACTAAGCATGATTTCTTTTGTAGGGTTCAGTCGAGTTCCATCTTCCTTTTCAAGATTTTCATATTTTCTACAATGTACAAAAATCATGACCAAATACCAGAAAGTTTATACAAAATTGTGCAGATATTTAAAGAATGTCATTTTAGGAATGAATTTTTAGCCGAGAAACCAGAGCAATAAAAAAAATATAACATGCATGTAAAACATCCTAGAATACAACAAATAATTTATTTAAGATATATATCTCCAAATAGACAAGCATTCAGCTGCATTATAATATTATTTCAAATTACTAGTACTTTAATATATATTAAATTACTACAATTAACTTGTTTATCATTTTCAAGGATACTTGCTAACGTACAAAATTTCAACCCCTGATTTTTTCAGCATATTTTCCGACGCCATGTACTTCCCTTCTATTTTCACGTCATCTGTGCATTGTTCGTATTTTTGTTTTTCAGCCTGAAGCTTTTCATCGTCATAATAAATAATCCTTTTGATCCCTGATTGTAACAGCAGTTTGGTACATTCGTTACAAGGAAAAAGAGTAACGTAAAGTGTACAATCCTTCAAACTGGTTCCATGTCTATTAGCAACAGCATTCATTTCAGCATGGCAGACTGAAAACAAATCAGAGGCATTGGCAGTTGGAACAAAAAAGAAAAGATGCACTTTATCAATGTGAAATCAACTACTGTATGCTAAATAAATATTAATATACTTACCATAAAGATTTTTCTTTTCTTTGGACCAGCTGAATGCTTCATCATTATTCTCAATTCTGTCAATAAAACCATTGTATCCAGTCGAAACTATTCTTTTATCCTCATTGACGATGCATGCACCAACCTGAAAATTAATATATTTTAAAAGATATTGAAATCAGAGATGAATCGGTTATAGTATAGAAGAACTGACCAACACGGACCTCCACAACATCAGAGGTGGAATGAGGTGTCATGTAGAAGTAAAAATCATCTGTGTACTGCATCTCATGCTTGGAAAATAACAAAAATATTCCTATATTACTCAGGGTGTAAAAATGGCCTTCCAATCAGTATGAAAAAGTCAGTCAGTATTTAACTAAATGAAAAAGAACTACGAATGACAGTATTGTTCTCCCGCCTACTCTAAGTCAATTCTCAAAAGTTAACATATTCGAATGATTTTCAAATTTTTAAAAAGATATTTATATGAATTTTCATAAAACGTTACTTATTTGGGATATCAAAGAGAGATAACTCTATAATGTTGGTAAAACTTGTGTTTTTCACTATAGAAATCAACGGAAAACGGAAAATGTTTTTAAAACATCTCCCCCCCCAATTCCTTTTTACAGGTAATATGGACTGTCATTTTACATATTAATGCCAAAGCTTTTTGTGTGGGGGAACATATGTTTATAGACAAAAAACGAAAAAAAAATGCTGATTTTTCACAATTTTAAAGCTATTTACAACTAAATAATTGTATTTTATTAATTTATATATGTTTTATTTATTGCGTAAAAACATAAGAAAGGATATGAGATACATTTTTTGATATTTAAGACTATTTCAAAATATGGTGATTCTTGAAAGTTCGATTTTACTAGAAAATATCGTCTACCCCCATTTTTTCAAGAGCTGGAATTAATGATAATGCAATATCTAGCGCTGGAATTAAAATGATAAATCAATTACCATAGAACTGTTCTTTGTATTAACAAAGACTTAATGGCCAAATTGCCATTAATATTGAATTTAATGGGTGCAAAATGTAGGCGGGAATCAAGAGTTAGAGTTCGTAGTTCTTGTATTTGCTAACAAAGTCATTGTATCGACCATTGAACTTAAGAAATTATCGCCTTAAAGGGGATTGCTGAGATTCTGTTCATCTCCTTGTTTGACAATAACTTACCTTGTTTACAAAATTGTTTATACATAGAGCATGCTTTTCCAAATCGAATCTACTGAGAAATATTAACTCTGTATGCAGGTGATGATTGTATATTGACGCATGAGTAAGGGAAGATGACGATTGAAAGGTTAAAATTTTCACGTTTATCCTAAAGATTTGTTGCTAGATAATAACTAACGTCATTTTCTAGATACTCACCGGGATATACCGTGTCAACATTAGAATGAAAATACAAATAATTAATTTAAAAAATATCTAACTATGGAGTTGGGGGCAACAGCAAGTGTTCGCTTTCTTTCACGTAAAAGATTTTACAAAAATTATGCTTCATATGAATACAAAAATAGGTCTAATTATAAAAAAGCACTATTGGTACCCATGTTGCCATTCCAATAAGTTGTTGATGGAAATCAAATAGATTTTACTGTTAAATTGATAATAATCATGGTATTAAGAAAACACCAACAGAAAATACGTATAGCAAAGAAAATCTACAATACAGTATCATACACAATATTAAATCATTTTTCTTCACTGCAACAATGCGACTTGGGATCGGGGCAAACTATGACCTACAACACACAAGATGTGTTATCAGGTATATCATGGAGGAAGATAAAAAAAAATTTGCGTTATTCTATATTAGAAGGAAAACAATTGTTGGCTGGTTTCCAATCTATGTCCAGTTTGTTAATCCATATCTTATTAAAAAGCGTATCAACCTTTACATTTATTCTCGATTGATATGTTTAAGTCACTGCATTGATAGATAAAGAGCCATTAAAACTGTTAAGAAATATATAAAAATATTATAAATCATAATTATAATTCATAAGCCTGGACATTTGAACAGCATTGGCCATTTAATAAAAACCTACTTTTCGCTGTTGGTCCTTGCTCCTTTTTGCTGACAAACAAGCAATTCCCATGAAAAATTCATCATATGATATATCAGCTTTTATTCTGAAATACAAAAGTCAAACAGATAGATATCTATCAATTGATTTGAGCTTTTTCTTCCTTGGTAAATTGGAAATATATTATAAACATATTAGTTTCTAAGGACTTGCATTACTGTTTTTCTTTATATTTTATCAGTGCTATAGATTCTTAAATATACGAGTGGAATAAATTAACACATAATTTCGCCAGAATCACAACAAAATAAAATTACTCGCTTTTATTGTTATGATGCTGAAATCAATTTAAAATCTTTTGATCAACCGTCTATTCGCAAATCATTATTCATGCGATTTGATGTTGAAGAGTCTATTCACAATAAAAAGCACTCGCCAAAAATAAGGAATCTAGAGTATAATAAAGTCTGAAACGTAAATCACCTTTCTTAATATACAATTCAAACATACGTATCATAGGAATGAAATTTAATAAATAAAAGTATTTAATTAAATAAAAACTATCATGTGCAATGTAAGGAATCACGTGCATGTACTAGAAAAGACATTACTTAATTCTAATAACCCACCTCGGCTTTGAATGCCCCTCAGATGTCGCCATGGTTGTTTACTCAGGTTCGTGATTATGGACACGGCTTTAGATTCATATATTCCTTAATATGATCAAGATTAATTAAATATTGTCAAAGTGACTGAAGTTAGTATCAGAAGTTAGCGACTGCTTGCTATGCAGTATGTATACTATGAATATAAATAAAGATAATTTTTTATTTGTTTAGGATATATTAGGATATATAGATAAGTTAAATTTATCTGGTTTATCAAAAAACAAGAATGGAGGAGAAGATAATAATACCTGCTTAATGTACAGACAAGAGGCCTATGGGCCACATAGCTCACCTGAGTAACTTTGGAGATACCATTCTGTACCAGATTTCCCCCTTGTAATACCTATTGTGGCCTCCCCCTAACCCCCCTCCACCCCACCTGGGTGGGAGGGGAAACACAATTTTAACAAATTTAATAAAAATCCACAATACTTTCAGAATGCATCCACATAAGTTTCAGCTGTTGTGGCCCAGTGGTTCTTGAGAAGAAAATTGTAAAAAAAAAAGTCCCTATATAGTTTTATGTAAAACTTGGATTCCTTATTGCGGCCCCGCAATACTCCCGGGGGTCATAATTTTGACAATTTAGAATCGTAACTACCCCAGGATGCTTCCAAGTTTTAGCTTTTCTGGCTGTGGTTCTCGAGAAGAAGATTTTTTTCAATGACCCTAACCTATTTTTGTCTTTTCTTGATTATCTCCCCTTGTGAGGAGTCTTAGTCCTTCATTTTAACAATTTAAAGCCCCCTTTACCTACGAATGCTTTGTACCAAGCTTGGTTAAAATTTGCCAAGTGGTTTTTGAGAAGAAGTAAAAAATAAGAAAAGTTAACAGACGGACGGACGATGGACAAAATATGTGATCAGAAAAGCACAAGCTTTCGGCTATGTGTTTCATTCAATATACGAGGAATATCAGTGTAAATGTCTCTCCACTAGGTGAAGGAATGCGATTATGTTATAAACTAATACTCTATCAATCAAATGATTATATTCTTCTCATAATTTAACTTAAGTTTCTGTAAACCTTTTGATTAGTTTCTTGTGTTTAAATGTTAATTTTTTATGTATGCATTTCTATTTTAAATTTTACATTAAAAAAATTGTTGAGTAGGAAAAAGAAAAAAAAAGGAAATAAATTATCAAGCGAGGAAATGTCAATGAATAATTATTGTTGGGGAAGGCAAGGAATATAACTCTGTAAAGAAACAAGTAAATTGGTATTATATTTTGTGTTGTATATGGGGGCATTCATGATGAATGTAATTAGTTTTGACATTAATTGTTGCTGGGTGAATGAAAAATTCTAGATTCATTTCAAGACCATTTCTTGAACTCAATTGATAAATAAAATACGAAATCGGTATAACCTTTCTTTTTTAAAAATTGTGCTCTTAAATTGCCCCATACTTTTAATCCTCCGATAGTTGCTAAAGCTATTGAAGTTAACTCATCCTCAAATCCAGTAATAAGAAACAAGGTTATAAAACCTTACCTTGCCAAACTTTGTTTGGAAAACATAATTATTAGAGACAGAGTAAAAATATATTTCCCAATTTTATATGGGAAACATAATTATAAAAGGTGGCGGTTTATCGAGAATTAACTGTAGTTTTAACACAGCTAATAAGTGCATGTTGTTATAGTTCATAATTGACCAAAGAAGTAGGCTGAAGTAAATTGAATATATAGATGCATTTTTAAAAAAAAATATCCAAATAAAAATGAGTTCTATTGGCCTAGCTGAGCAACTACGTTTTCCAGGCCAGAGCATATTAGCCGGAACAGGAACAGAAAATTGAACCATATGTGAAGAAATTCTCTAAGTTTTGAAAGAACACTGAAATAAAAATAACAGTCTCAAGTATTTGTAATTTTTGTCGAAAAATGATCTCAGTCATTGTTCCACAAGGGCCATTATACGTTTAGACTGGCGACGGAAGTAAAGTCCATAAAATCCAAGATTTTGTATCAAAGTATGCATTGACAAATCACACCTAAAAGATCCTGAGTTTCAAATAATGGTCTAAATTTAAAACCGTTAAACGACATTTGGTTGTGTCTTTACAATATATGAAAATTCATTAATTGGACAGAAAGAAATCAAACCTGTAATATCTGACACTGACGGTTGCTAAGCAAGTTTTTATAGTAAACTTTCATCCAAATTCCGTTTTAACTGTTTCCTACAATTATTCTTTGCACAAATCGTATAAAACTTACTTACATAAGAGATTTTACTATTATTCATCTTCAGTTTCCAGTTACTTTTCGATAAATACATACCTCAGTTGTGATAAAGTACACAAAACATGTCAGTAATGGCGTAGTTTATGTAATTAGGTTTACATTCAAAACGAAAGAAGATATTTTATAATTTTCATTATATCAATGAATTATCATTCAGCTTATATCTGAGCCAATGTATATTTCTTTTAATCATATTTCTTTGGTTTTATATCCTTCAAGACACAAAAATGTGATTGTTAGAATCAGAGTACTGGGAGTACTTTATGGGGTAAATAAAAGAATCAAGAATGGAGTACTGCAAGGTGTATTGTATTATATAGATGTTTTTGTATTTACGTCATATAAACTGATCAAATTTAGTTAATTCTATTGCAATTTTTATTTTAATCTTTAACAATATCATTAATCACATTTTGTTGTCTTTTTAATAACATAAATAAGATACAAATAACGTTAATTACCTAGACTTCCTACCGTTGGCGATCTACAGAAATTATTTTTAAAATCATTTTGATTGTGCATTACTGTACCTGAAGATAATATGAAGCAGGCCTCTGTTTCTCTAGACTTCGTTTCTTAATTCAGGAGAAAAAAGCAGCACTGTTAATGGTACTTTGGTGAAATCAAAGGAAAATCAACTGAATATATTTTGTATCTATCATATTATTAAATAAATTTAATTGTCCCCCGCTTTCGCAAAAGCGAGGAGACATCAAATCTCATTCGTATGTCCGTCTGTCCGTGATTCTGTCAGTCTGTCAGTCTCTCCGTCACAAAAACGTTAGCCTTGCCCATAACTTTTGATTTAGTGTAGCTATGACTTTCACATTTCAAATGTATATTCCTTGTGACAAGAACTTTCCTGAGGTACTACCAAATTTGAGCTTTTGACCTTGACGATGGGTTTTGACCCACTTTTACACAACAATACCAAACTTTAACTTTGTCCATAACATTTAAATGGTAGGAAGGAGGACTTTTATATTTCACAGATGTATTCCTTGTGGCAAGACTTTTCATTGGATACCAACAACTAGGACCTATGTATCTTAACCTTGGAGATTACGTACTTATGAAAAAACTTTAACCTTGGCCACATCTTTTAAACGGTAAATACTAGGACATTCTTTTTTCATGTATGTATTCTTTGTGGCAAGACCGTTCATTGGATGCCAACAAATTTGACCTTTTGACCTTGACTTTGAAGATTTACGTGCTTATGAAAATCTTTAACCTTGACCATAACTTTTGAAATGTAAGGGTTAGGTCTTTTATACTTCACATATGTAATTCTTGTGAGAAGACCGTTTCATTGGATACCAAGAAATTTAACCCTTTGACCTTGACTTTTGAGTTGACCTGCCTTTAAAAAAACTTTAACCTTTGCCATAACTTTTGAACGGTTAGGGTATTCATCCCTCACATATACATATGTATTACTTGTGACAAGACCTTTTTAAGAAAACATCAACTCAGACCCTTTCACCTTAGAGTTTGGCCTACATTTCAAAAATTTATGCTCGACTATAACTTTTAAATAGGGGGTGCTAGGGATTTTGTTTTTCACAATCGTATTACTTTGGTTAATAATATATTTAATATGCATTAAAAAAAAATTAATCTTCGTTATGTTGCCATTCGGGGTCATCAGTGCTTCACAAACACATCTTGTTCTTTATATTGAGAAGAGATAGGACTTTCATATATGACATGTGCATTACCTGTGACAAGATAATTCCGAGCATGCTATGTCTTACCCCTTGAACTTGACCTTCACGATTGACCTTTATTTTCAAAAAAAGAAATCAACTTCAATAATAATTACTAAATAAAGGACAGATGATTAGGGTGTTCATATTAGAAACAACATGTCATGAAAGTAACATCTCATCCACAAAGACACCGAAAGCGGGGGACCACAATTCTTTGAATTTGCTTATTTCAATTGCATTTACATTACCACTTTTTAATTTAGGTTTGTTAATTGGTGTGACAGCTATATACTGTATGGATGTAAATGATACACATTTTAATATCACAAGCGCACATCATACTTCAAATCAAAATGTTTTAAAAACTAGCATCGTACAATTTATTTATTGAAAAAAAATGCTATAATGTCATATTGTAAATGAATTATAGAAGTGCGGCAAAACGCCCGGTCTTACTTTCCTTTACAGAGAATATTATAAACAAAAATACTCCATTGATGGTCTTTATCAAGATAGAGAGAGTAAACAATAAACCGTCCTGACAGACTAAAATGACAAAGTTTTTCCAAATATATTTTGTTGAAATCTATCTTTACAGTGTTTTCAATCTTAAAATCCTACACGAATGACGTCTCAACTGTTCAACTGTGATCTCATCGCCTGATTAACGAAAAGACAATAAAATGATCAAGGGCTAATGAAATGAATTTATTTATCAAATAAGTTATGTAAAAATGTAGAAAAAAAACTCTTCATATTATCTAAATAAGCGGATAAAGCAGAGATGTTTCATGTTTCACTTAAAGATGAACTCTTCTGATCATTTTACCCCAAGTGGGTCTTCGAACTTAAATATGTCGTAAAATCAAACTGATAACAATTCACAAACAAGTTTTTAAAGTTTTTATGATTTACATGTTTAACTATATTTATTTTTAAATAAAAAAATCTTTTTATGTTGTATTAATGACCAAGACGTGTGCAAAATTACGATATTTACGACATAGGCCTAAGAAAGTTAACAAGTGAAATCGACATGATCGAGAGGGGAAGAAGACGGGATTGCCTGTTTCAAAGCGACAGGAATGCCGAATGGCACTCCGTTAAAAGAGTCAACCGACGGAAATTTTAAAACATTTATAAAATCACCGATA